AAACCTGGTAGTCGAGACCACAGACAAATTTCGATGATAAAATGCCTTTAGGAACAAGGCCAAGTAAAATGGAAAGACATAGTGAAGGCTTTCCCTCATTTCACCCTAAGTAGATTATGGATAAATTATTAGCAGTTAAGATTAACAATAGAAAATAGATTTAAAACTTTAAAGAATTTTTAATAAAATTGGCTATTCCTTTTTGAGTTCTTTCTATTAGTAAGCTATTTTTATGTTCAAAATGTGTAACAAATCATACTTGGTGAGCCGAAGATTCCTGAAAAGTGATCTCTCCATCGCCAGAAAAAGTTGACGGTTGGAAAGCTGAATTAGCGACTTGTGAAGTGGTGAATGGTGTCAGGAAGGGAGATGAAGAAAAGGAAGAAGATTTGGGAGTGAGAAGAGATACGTCTGATGTAGTGGAAGCAGACAAGACGGAAGAAGACGATGACAACGTAGAGGAAGGAGGAAGCCTGACGACCGGAGCCGAAATTCTGAGGCCAGAAGTTTCGAAGCTGGTGCTTGAAAGATTTTGCTCGATGATCTGGTCCGTAGCCGGACTGCTGATAGCAGTAGTCTCTAGGAAGCCATTGGACAGTTGGGAGAGTGATGAAGTTATTGGAATCTGTAGGCCAATCGAGGTAGACTGCGATAGTTGGTATCGACGTTCTGGTAGCTGCTGCTTATTAGGCGGAGGGTCGCGCAACAAACCACTATCTACACTAGCAATAATAGGAGTATCCCCAAAAGAAGAAGGATCATGTGGCTCCTCTTCATGGAATGAGAATCCATTGCCACTCCCAGCGCAACTGCCAGAACTGCCCCCACTAAGACGTAAAAGGCGAGACTGCCGGCCAGGAGAATGGGGTGCAGAAAGAATGGCTTGTTGTAGTTGATGCTGATGATGGTTTATAATCGAGTTTGACGGAGCTCGACTGACTGAAATTGGTGAGATAGAGCACTCGCCTTCTGCGCTTATAGCAATCGCCGACGTATTATTGGTCGAGCCAGGACACTCGTTTGATAAAACAGCTTGCGGGCCAATATTTGCTGCTCCAGATGAGGATGCTTCTGCTGCGGCTGTCGCAGCTGCCAGAGTGCTAAGTACTCGAGAGTTCATTGTCTCACAGCGACCCATGACCGCCGTCAAACCAGCAGCAGCTTTGACCATCAGCAAGTCAGCAAGCAATGGTGAAGAGGGATCGTCGCAAGTGACACTCGAATCTTCTCCCGAAGCACCGTTAAACATAATAGGCGTCAGCTGATTATTTGAGGGAGGAGTTCCATTAATAGTGGCTGTAGCATGATTGGAATTCCAGTTGGCAGGACGTCTAACGGGTCCTGGGGTATGGTAAGAAATGAAGCCCTGTGAAACTGTATAAGCCGGGTTTGGTAAAAGGTGGCTTTGCCCAGGGCCAGGAAATCTGTCATCTAGTTGATGTAGTCCAGGAAAGAACAATGCTGAATCAACTGGAGGCAAATGGGCCACATGCATTCCCTCTTCAACCATCGATGAAGAATTAAGGCTATCTAAATTATCTTGCATCTCTGATGCACCAACGTTATCTTCTTTAGATGCTGAGGTGTCGCTTGGCCCTTCGGACTGAGATTGCGTTGAGAGTGGCCAGCCAGTTGGGAGCCTGACAGAATCGAAAATACCTTGACTGCTAGGTATTGGAGAAGTTGTGATTGTGGTGGATACGACTTGAGGAGAGGATGAAAGGCCTGAGAGACTGAGCAAAAGATTATCATTCTCTCCCGTACATGAAGGCTGGGCAACTGGAAGGTTTGCATGAAACATCGATGGCTGGTGGTTTAGAGTGAAAAGTCTAGCAGAAGGAAGGGAATTTGAGAGAGAAGGGTAAAGAGCGGATACGAATGGACCGTCAGAAATTGAATCAGTAATAGGAGAGAATGAATTGGCCGAAGAAGGTGGTGGTTTGGAAGGGAGAGTTGATGAAATTGATAAAGAGGAAGACAAAAGTGGAGATGAAGAACTGACATTAACAGGAGCAGAAGCAAAACAACTGTTTGTCTGACTGGAGATTGCTGTGCTAGTAGAGTTGATCGAGTTGGGGGAAGTCAGAGGATAAGTTGACGAGGAGAAAAATTGGTTATCCAAAGAGGCCATCGGAGAGGTCAATTCAGTCAGAAAGGAGTTGCTAATTGAATCGGATTTGGAGGTAATAGCCTCAAATTGCTCGGTCTTCATTTTTAGCTCAATAATCTGGAAATCGCGTTGCTTAAGGGTTTCTGAAGTGTGAAAAAGAAACAATTTGTCAAACATTTGTATAGTGAAAACATGTGTATAGAAGAAAAAACTAGTAAAAAAAGAAATAGTAAAAATGGATTATCAAATATGCTTATATCAACAGCTAAGAACAGCTAACAAAAAGTAGATACCTTATAAAGAGGCTGGTGAGTTTAGAGAAAGGCCACAAAAAATAATGTCGATTGGACAGATCATCAAATGCTGAAAGCATTTTGTTGGTAATAATCAAAATAATAATTGCTTATATAGCATCCATAATATCTATTGCAATGATAATAAAATATTCACGATTAATTGAAAATAAAACAATATACCGCCCAGAAGTCTGTGCTCATCCATCGTGAGTCACATCTCGGATCATGTCAGAACCCATAATGAAATTCGAAATCAAGAAATGGATTAAACACGCTTTTCTTTGATTATGTAATTGAATAGGGCTAGGTCAGGAACTGGCCTAGTTTCCCGTTGATGTTATAGGTCAATCTTCCATATTCAGAGCCCCATATAGAATAAAGGATTAATTTTTAAAAGGTATTAGATGGGGAGACGGCTATATATAACCATCAATATAATTTTGCTTTTTAACCACACTCCCACTCTAATAGTTACCTTCATAAAAACGCTTTTACATAGATAAAGTTGATTGATAGGCAGAAAGTAATGCACTTATATTGCTTCAATCAAGTTGTTACAGAAAATTATAATTCAGCATTTTACTGATATAGAGTTGCCTTACTTGAAAAAATTCTAACACTTAGAAATCCAAATAGCATATTTCATCAAATTCTCGGTGTTTAATACAAAGATATGAAATTTTTTTATTAAGTCCTTTATCTCTTAAAATTAGTTATGAATTGTAGAACTTATATTAATAAGGCTTAG